TCTCCAAGATGGACAAGGAGAGCTGCTGGATGGATGCATCCACCGCGTTCATATTGACGTAACTCACTATCTGCGAGACACCAAAACCACCCGTCGAGGGCAGGCTGAGCCTGGGGGACGAGGACAACGAGGAATCCCAAGGGTACAGGCTGTGGAGGTGCTTACCTTCTTGATAAAGACTGTACTAAGATTTTCCCAGGAAACAAAATCATGCTCCATCAGCTCTGTGAAGGCTTTCAGGGTGTGAGCCAGCATCTCCCCTGTACTGGAGGGACAGATGAACAAAGGCAGTGAGGAGAAGAAAGGAAAGAGACTGTTGGGTTAGAAATGACTCTCACTTAGTCATCCCAGGAAGTCAGGGCAGGGGAAGTTCAACAGTTGGAAAGCTGCATTAACGCGGTACAAAGATCACTGTAGACAAACCTTCAGGAAAGCCAAACCACCCCATATCCCTCCCTGTGATTCTAAGAAACATCTGCTGTGCTGCCTGGTTTTAGGCTCCCCATTCTCTGTGTGCCAGGAGCTCAGAGGAGATGCACCATCACATCCTGAACGAGTCACACAGGCACTCGTATTTGGCAACTGGAGTTTTCTTGAACTGCCTGAAAATCTCTGGCAGCTAAAACCTCGGGACAGAGGGTTTATTCGGGGTGGCAGGAATGAGGAGCAGTAGAGGAGGCCAAGATAATCACAGGACGTTTCCTGGTAGCAAAACCCGTGAGGCTACAGATGACCCAGCCAGCAAAGGGATGGGAGGTTCAAGTCTGGGCACATTCACAAGGAGGCAGGACCACACATCCCTGGGGACCTTCCCCTGGCTGCCAGCGTGCAGGGACACAGCCACAGTGCAGGCATCAACAAGTCAGGAACGCAAAGAGAGTCCACTCCAACACCCAGCTTGGAGCTCACGCAGCATGAGCAAGGCAGAAAAAAAGTCAAAGAAGGTCATGTCCTGATACTCACTCATTCCCTTCTTCCACAATAGAATAAATTTGTTTCAAGCCATTCCTGTTGATGAACTCTTGAGCAAAGGTAACATCCTGGGAGAGGCTTGCAAGCTTCTTCAGTGAGTCAGTCTTCACATCCACATTCTTGCTCTGGATCCCGCTGTACAACCGCTCTGCTTCTTGGTCCTACCAGGAAGGAAAGAATCAAGCCAAAGGGGCTCATTGAAAGACAGCGAGAAGCTTGAAGAAGGCTGGAAGAGCTGAAGTGCAAGTTTTGGAAGGAGTCTCAGACTAGAGCAGCCCCAGTGAGGAGCTGGACTGAGAGACAGAGCCACCAGAGCAGAGACCAGGAGGAGCTGAGGACGGAGGTCAAGCTGGCATGACACCAAGAACACTTGATGAGTTGGCCCACGCGTCCAAAGCATCTCGAGATGATTTAGTTTCTCTTCAAACTCCCCCAAGCTCTGCCGAGGGAAAATGAAGGCTGAGACACGTCTCCTGCCCAGGTTATTCCTGCTGGGTCTGAGGCACCGAGAGGAGCCAAGTCACGGAGGGAATCAGCTGCAGAGGGCTCGGAGCACCGCACTGCCCCACTGCAGGGACACATCCCACCAGAGCACAGGGCGCAGGAGGAGACAGAGGGTCAGAGGGAGATGTACCGGGGAGGTGGTCAGCCGCAAAATGCTCCCGTTCTTAATCTCCCTGCGGTTCTGTAAGGAGAGAGGCACGGGTGAGAGACACCGGCGGGGCCGGCAGAGGCCGGGGGGGGTTTGGGGGGTGGGTGTTTTGTGGGTGGGTGTCTCACCGACTCGGTGATGTAGGTCTGCCGCCCGTCCACGTACTGCAGGGCGTAGTGCTCGGCGTTGGGCAGGCTCCACCTGCGGGCACGGGCGGCCGGTCACGGCCCCGTATACGGCCACAGCCCGGCGGCCGTCGGGGCTGCCGCGACCCCCGGCTGGTACTCACGCGTCGCAGACGTCCTTGAGCACCGCGGAGAGGGGCTTGGTCTGCGGGCGAGAGCGCGGCCGTGAGCCGGGGATGGGGATGGGGGGGGGTGTGCGCACACACACCGGGAGGGGGTGCGGGGGCTGCCGGGCGGTACCTGCTGGAGCTCGATGAGCTGCGGGATGGCTCCCACCATCTGGATGGCGATCTTCACCACGTCCTTGGGCGGCGGCATGGCTGGGGCTCCCGCCGGGGCTCCGCTCCAGTTCCGGGTTGCTGGTGGTGGTTGGTGCCGCCGCACCGAGGCCTCGGCGCCGCCACCCAGCCCCGAGCAGGCCCGGCCCCCTCACCTGAGCTGACGCGGCTTGGCCGGGACCCACCTCCGCTCCCGCCGGGAAAAAGCGCCTCGCTCCCCCCTCCCCAGGGCACCCCCATCCCACCGAGGGCGAGAAACTCTGGAAAAACTGTTGATTTTTTTTTTTTTTT